AAGGAGAAAGAGTTATTCGATTTTGTTTAAACTTTGCAAGGCCTATTATTTGTATCAGTGCTAGTTCAGGTGTGAATGTCGACAAAACCGCCCAACCTATCAAGGATCAAAATTTTTGAAAAACTTGAACTCTAGTAAAATGCGAAAAAAAAGTTTCCGATTTTCTCCAAATTTCTCACATCCAGATCTGTTAACACAAGATCTGGCGTGAAGATGGAATTAACTGGTCGCTTCCTTCTAATACCTCCCCACAAAGGGGTCGAAGTTTTGAATAACCAAAATGCTCATAAAATGCGAAATAAGAATCTGATTCTTTCTAAACTTCAAATATTCTCATATTTGTACTAATATATGATCTGGTGTGAAGATGGTAGATATCTGTCCACTTCTACTGGTAGCTCCCCTACAAAGGGATTCAAATTCTGAATAAACAATACGCCGATAAAATGCGAAATAAACTTCCGATTCTCTTCAGGATTTGATATTAATGTACTCATTTAGGGCATAGTCGGAAAGTGAATATTCCAATTTTATTCACTGAATAATTAATGTTTATACTTTTAGTTTATTAAAATGTTTTATTATTTCTAAACTAGAGTTTTAAAGATTCTTCCGAGTAAAAGAGTATGCATCAAGCCGACTTTATTGTGGGTGATATTGTTTCCTTCATAAGAATCAACAACATCAACAATCGACAGTTCGTAGGATCCAACAGTAGCTATTCGGGAAATAATTCCTCAATATGGTCATAAGATATGGTCCATATCAAAACTATTTAAATTCTTGCACTTAAATTTTAAGACTTCTCTCATTCGTTCATTGTGGGCATTGCTACTACGGCCTAATCTCAATATTTTCATATCAGTGATTTAAAAAGCAACTGTTGCACATATTTGTAATCTAAAATCTAAATACGTTTTCAACAAATATTTTAATAAACTCCTTATTTGTAATTGATACGAACAAGATAACATATTCAAATTGTCCAACTAATCTTAAAAGCCATAAAAAGTGAATGAATTCCACTCGAGAACATTTCGAATCTACCAACTATGGAATTGAAAGCCCACAAACCAATCGACTCGCTGAGGCAATGATGAAACAATAATGTTCTAAAACAAAATTAAAAAAAATTATAGATATTAAACATGCAAACATTATTATTATTATTATTTTGCACACTCGAGATGTTATCGCCAACAACGAATACAGCTACCCAGATAGCTAGCCAGCCAGCCTGGCTGGCAGACAGACAGACAAACAGACAGGTCTGTGCGGACGGACCTACTGCCAACAGTTGAGCAAATGCATCCATGTGTCTGTTACTGGATACACCCATATCATTGCTGCTATTGTTGTTGTTAGTACTATTATTTTTATTGCATATTATTATTATTACTAAAAAAAAAATATTGATATTTCAATTCATTTCAATTAACAGAAATTAATTGCAAGCTTCATTTTGATTTTGATCTCAGAATGACCGGAATGATGAATGCAAGTTTTGAAATAACTTCAAGAGGATTTTATTCCGACGAACAAACAAAAGAAGTGATTTATTTTCTTAACGAGGAGGAATTTTCGGAAGGCAAGAAAAAATGTTAATTCATTTAGGAAAACGTTCACAACAAATGACGGCGCACAGATGGTGATGGTGTTTTGTGTGGGTCGAGAAATTCACCAAAGATAGCAAGCCGTACAACTGGTGAATAATTATTCACCACATTTAATTCAAGACGCGAACCAAATATATTGGGGTAAACCGACATTTTGATGTATTCATATAAAGTTACTCTATGTGGTTATTAAGTGAATAGAATAAGGACTTGAATGCTAAAATTTCGTTCTCAATCGGAATTAGTTTGAGTTTAGTTTTTTGACGCTGCTTACCAGACGGTCAGTCCCCAGCAAACCAACAACGAAATAACAACCAATGTATCATTTGATTCGAAATTTATTAGATTACGAATATTTATGATGAATTTCGGGCCAGATGCTGTGTGTTTTCTAAGAACTTGGTAAAAGGTAAAATTTCAAATATTCATAAATCAAATCATTTTCTGTCGGGATAGAGTCGAGTAATTAATATCCGTCCGCCTGTGCATGTATTTTTACTAAGGAATTCCATATCCCATTAATTAAACGAATAATACAAAACATTACGCTGTTTATTTGGCCCAAGAACGAACCCCACTGAAATTGATTGCAATCAAAAATCAGATTTGCTCGATTTTATTGGAGAGCGGTTGCTTGAAATGTACGAGTTTTATACGAAATTTACTCTCCACTTCTCTGTGTTATGTGGGAGAGTTTGCGAGTTACTCCTGTTCGAAAAAAAGAGCGGGACTCGAAAAAGAGTAAGTTAACCCTAAGAGTGAAATCTGTTCCGATGGATTATTAGTTTGCTGATGATCGCGTTATCTAGTTTGCTGATTTGTGTGACAATGTGTGTGTAGGCTCGGGGATCGTGTAAAAATCCAAAAGAGAAAAAATCAAAACATCGCGGGAATTTAAGTTAAAAAAAACAATTGCAACCACCCTATCATATGGCTTGTTTCTATAGATTGCAGGTAATGCTCTGTTTTTTTTTTTCAGCTCGAACTCCCAGAAGCGCTGTTTAGAAACTAGTCTGGGTCTGCTTTAGTCCAGGCCTAGGAAGTTAGCTATTATTATAGGCTGTAGCCAAAGATCCTCTAAAGTGAGTTAGAACGTTCGGCAGGGAAATTTAAAAAATGCATCATGTTCCGCACATTCCCATAAATTCGCGGCTAGTGTCTTGAGGAACTTGTTTTTACTTTTCAATTTCTAGCAGGTTGCTGCGGTTATCGCGAGGAAGACTTGAACATGTTGTCGAATGAGAATGTTGCCCTCGGCCTGCCCATTCAGTTGTGTTCATATCTCCGCAGCCCATAATGTAATGGTGTGGAGGCGTCAAGCTCCGCGAGATAGTTGTCCACCTGGACATATATGTCATCAACGACAGGACCCTCGTCGTGGTCATAGGTTACGATCTCAATTCCGTCTGGAGGGACCGCAATTCCGAAAAGGTAGAGGTTAAACAACATGGGAACTCCCTGTTTCACTCTTAGATTTATTATTCCGGAATTCCACGTACGACTGGCGTCCACACATAGAGTATCGAACAGCGTGACATGATGTGTGGATATGGCAATGTGGACGGAATCCGTGTTGATTGTTGGCAATTGGCCTGCTACTGGCGACAAAAGAGAAATTGACCTGTATGATTCACCTTTGCTGGCATCCTTGCCTGGCTTCAATAGCGGAACCATCCAGCCCAGGCTTCCAGGCTTCGGAACTATGTGCGATTGAACGAATTCAATCACGACGATATATATCTTTCATTCTATTTGCTATTTAAGAATTAAATTAGTTTAGGTTGAAAAGAGGGGCGAAATGATTGCCACATGTCCTGATGGACATACATTTAAGTCAGTCAGCTCTATATATATATAGAGCGCACAGTATATATATAATGTGCGCTCTATATTAAGAAGTTTTTGAAAGAAGACTAGCGGTTTAAAGTCTATTGTATTTGAAATTCAGTTGTCTTAACAAAATTCCTTAACTGTTTTATTTCATATATAATGATCTGATTTAGCTATGGTATGGAGTCGTTCCCTAAGAATTGGGATCTGATATTTGCAAACGCTGATTTTTTTGTGGTTTTCCCTACTCCATCATTTTTCCATAGAGATATGTGGGCGATTCTTGCCCATGTCTTTAACTTTAGATGTGACGCATTTAGCGGTATTAGATGGTCCAAATTTACTGTTGCTAACCCCCTGCCTGTTTTTTGTCGCGAGAGTTCGCTATCTCGTTACCTCTAATTCCCGCATGACCTGGTACTCATATAATACGTACTGAGCCGTGTTGATTGATTGAATTTATACAATCAAATACCGTTTTTGAATTGACTGTTTTGGATTTTATAGCTTTTATAGCGATTTTACTGTCCATTAGGACGTTTATGGTAGCTGGTCTCGTTTTGGCAATAAGCCAGTTTAAACAATCGCTCGGACTTCTGCTCGAAGGATCGTACTATGAAAAAAGTTCCAGTCACGCCATCTCCCTAACACTGACCCGTCTGAATAGCAACAGTTTGCAATCGGGTTTAGTGATTAGAATATTTAAGAATTATCCCATTTTATCGGTATCGATTCGGATTTAGATATAGCTCCCAAAATAGTTTTGTTTCGACTACAAAATAATAGATCGAGCTTGAAACTAATCGGTTCAGATGTAGCTTCCATACATATGCTTCATCCGCCTTCTTATAGCCATAATATGCACTATATAGGGAGGTCTCTCGGGTTAAATTAAAAGTTGGGAGAAGTTTGGCAACCACTCTAAATAAATCTCAAATCGGATCCGATTTAAAAAGTATAAAGACTATTATTTCAGCAGCCTTCACAGAGAACATCTGAGATATCCAATGCTTCAATGTTTAGAGTGCTCGGCATAAAATACCACTATGAAAACCAGCAAATCTGTTATTGCCCGAATTCCATTACAATTACATCCTTCATCATTGAATATGACTCTTCACTATTAATAAGCGAAACATATGGTTTTCCAATCAGAATTGTTTCGCTGCCATAAATCATATTTTAAAACAATTGCATTCCAATTGGAAATTACACTTAAAGAAATAAATAAATTTACAATTCAGAAATCTTAGCAACAAAACACCAATGCTATTCGTGTGCATGAAGAGTAAGGGTGGGCACTGAGGTCTTGAACGGCATGCCACACTCAGGCACATACGTCAGAGATCAGACAAAGGAATTGAATTGTTTTAACTGTTCATAATTGCAATTAATAATTACTTCAAGTGGCCCGGAGTTGGCTGTCAGGTCATAAGCGACTCATTGCTGGCCACTTGAAAATGGCATGGATTAACAAGAGCGTCAAATGACGTCAAAGGCAAAATATTTCCTTAATAAAACTTACGCAATTGTGGTGAATTTTTGCAAACTTACCTGCTATGCGCAGAACAGCACGATCTGCCGGATCCAATTGTAAAATGCTCAACGGTTTGTCCTTAGCCCATTCGCTAAGGCTCTCCCGGTCCATGGTGATATTGGCAGCACTACCCGTTGAGGCATAGATACGCCTTCGTTTACTCAGCTGTTGGGCACTGCCGCCATAGGACCCCGACGCTGCCAGGGAATAGTTTACTTCTCGGTCCGCCAGTTTGAATAAATATTTGTACAAGTGATTTTAATGTGATTGCACACACACACACAGCTGCTCCTAACTGGAGCAAGCGAACAAAGGACGTAGAGAGAGGTAGGTCGTTTGGTAGAGGGTGGATAGGTAGCTAGGTAGATGGCCGGCTAAATAGGTAGTTAGAGATTTAAACAACAAGTACACCAACCAACAACACGCATACACTTGTTCGTTGCGTTGGACGATACTTGCGTTTTGCGTTCCCCGTTGGCTAATAAGGCGTATTCAGGGAAAACACATTTCTCGTCTCATCTCCAGCAACTCCGACCAGCATTGTCACAGAATTCAGTCTTCACAGATTTGTTCTAAGAATTGTCGATTCGGGTTGGCCTTGAAATTGAATTTCTAACAAAATTTGATTTATTTGCCAAGAAGGGTTTAAATGGTTTGCTTTGTTAATTTACAGCCGTTTCTTTTGATCTCGCCCTAGACGTCGATGTTTTTCTTTTTGTTGTTGTCTTCGTCGTCGTTACGGCTAAGATATTTCCTCATTAATGTTGCTGATTTGCTTGGTTGGTAGCTATATTGTCATCAACTGAAATAAAAATAGAAAAGAAAAAAAAAAAAAAAGAAACAAACAAATATTAGTTAATTAAATGCCATTCAGTGTAAGAAGCGATCCGACATTTCAATATTCATAGATACAATTTTCAAAATAAAACATTTGGTTTATTTACTTGTTTATATTTGCACACATTTTTAAATACAAAATATTTGCCTACGTTTGAAAAGTGTCTCTTTTTTTTTGGTTCAATGGTAGCGGAATTATTTCTTTTCATTTTTGCCGACCAAAAGTAGGGGAGGAGATGCAGAATGTGAAAATGATAACTTGTTATGAGAGAGGAAGCTAAAAATTGACGTCTTTGGCGAAGATAAATAAAACTTAATATCAAATCACCTGAAATCGATGTCAGATATTTGGGGAGAAGATAAGGGCTGCAACAGAACTCTTGACCAAGTGATCTAGAATCCAATATAATAGCGTTATAAAAGACAGCGTGCACCGCCTATATGATACCCAACACCACTATGCAGCAACCAACTTCAGACTGTTGTCATTTCTAAGCCACTCATCCGACAGCTGTTAAAATTATTCCAGTGACAGATCATTATACTGTTTACAAGCATACAAAAGCATTTTGGTGAGAATTTTCCAGAAAAAAAGTTATTCGTGATGGCATTCAAGCGTGATAGTGTGATTTCTTTATATTTGGCTGGAAACCCACAAGTGGCTATCGTTAGAGCAATCCAGCATTTAAATGTGAATAAATCTTTCATGTCTCGTCCATCGCTCGTTACCATGATACTGGTAGCGTAGCCTGACAAGTAAAGAAGCGACTTGATCGAAACCGGTTTCGCAGTAGCCGAAAAATGACTCGTGAGCTGAACATATCGCAATATTCCATTCGGGGTAAAGCCATTGAAATTCCAAAAAGTGCAAGAACTTACACCGCAACGGAAAGAAAATAGACTTAAAAGAACTAAAGAGTTGCTTCGCTTGGCCGAAAGTGGTGAACTGCGGAATTTTGTTTTCTCCGATGAGAAAACATTTCTTGTCCAGCAGTTTGTAAACAAACAAAATGATAGTGTTTACTTGCTAAAGAGGTCAGCTGAAAATGTGCATCTTCGGTTGGCCATCAGAACTCAAGCGCCGACCATGCGGATTGCCGATGGTTTCTCTCCGCTCGTATTAATCGACCAGAACAAATGCCGAAGACTATCGCGAAAATATACTGGAGGGTTTATTAATGCCTTGGGCACGCAAACATTTTGGCCACAGACCTTGGACATTCCAATAGGACTCAGCACCATCGCAATCAGCACGGGCCACCAAAGAGTGGTTACAAAATGAGGTTCCTCGATTCATTTCCAGCGCACAATGGCCACGAAAATCTCCGGATACAAATTCGTTGGACTATTGTGTCTGGAGTATTTTGGAAAAAAAAGGTTGGCACTAGAAAATACCAAAGTGTCGATCACCTCAAGCAAGCGCTTCGCCGGGAATGGGCCAAAATACCGCAGAGCAAAATTCGGATAGCTTGTGACGGTTTCATTGGCCGTTTGTAGGCCATAATTCGTGACACAGGTGGCCAATTCGAATAAATCTTAACTTATTCTAATATTTGATCCTATTTCCGACATTTTTTGCTTTCATTCAATAAAATAAATAAATAACAATTTGGCGTTCGACTTTGTTGCAGTTTTTTATCTCAACCTGTATATGAGTTATATCCTAACCGCACCGTTTTCTACAAAATATTTGCGATAAAATTTCAACTTTCTAAATTTGCAGGAAGACCCGAAAAGATTATCAAAGTAGAGCTAAAAATGTGTGGCAGGTGTTTTAGACGTTTATATTCGGAGACAACCAAAAACGAGGGTGGCAAAGTCCCACCTTTTTTACATTTTTGAAAATATTTGAGTTAATTTTTTTTGGATTCCACTACGTTAGGTATATGATGTCTCAGGCAATATTACATCCGGAAATCGGAGAAATTTTTTTTGTAAATCAATTTAATTCTCAGACGAATTAAAATCTGGTTTTTAGGTCATTTTCTTCAAAAACTCCATTAAGGTGTGATGTTATCAGATCAATATATTCTACAAATTTCACATGGGTCCCAAAATACATCAAACCCCCAAAGCATTACATGAAAGCCACAAATCGGTAAAAATAAAAAAAACACATTTAAGGTATTCAAAACATCTTTTTGGGGCAATACTTAAAATACAACGATAACATGAAATAAAATATAGAATTAATAGAACCCGTTAAGAAGATGCAATCTGCTCGATTTAAATAGTTTTTGTAATATTTTTGGTAGTATATACATATGTGAAATATATAAACAATCGAGTAGTATTTAATTTAGGATGATCCAAATATTCTAGAAATCGTGGGAGTTGCGCCATTAGCTGTTGTTTAAAATTTCGTGTTCTCAAATTGCCATCATAGGTCATTTAAAGTGTATTTAATTGTTTGGCCAAAAAAAAATGTTATATGAAAAATGACTCACAATTAGGTACGAAATATTAATTGTTTTATGAAATACAGATTTATTGATTTCATTAATTTCAATTGACATCGCCGTAGCCTTGGTCCAACTGAGATTTTTATTTTTATTGACTTTAATTTGTCGTCGTTTTGATTTCAATATCGAGGATCGAATGACACAAACATTTGTGGGCATGTTGTTCTTTTGGAGAATTTCTGGAATATTGCGGCACAACAAATTAATCAAATATCTGTGTCACCATCAATGTCAGTCTCTGGCGACGGTGGTTGCAAACAATGGCATCGTCTGAATTTGCCATATTTTTATTAGAAAGGAAAGGAGGGAGTGTGAGAAATTTAAAATTATGTCATTTCATTGTTAAATTGAAAAAGAAAATTGATATTTTATGGATAAACAATTGTGTTTGAGTACGAACGTAGCAATGTCTTAAAAATGTAAAAACAGCATGAGTTTGGGTAAATTTGAAACTATTTATCTGTCATATGAGAAAATATTCAACTAAATATGCCTTGGGTTATAAAAAGCTGCCACCAATACATAAAACTCATTGTAGCCCTAAGAAAAATTTAATTTCAAAAGAAATTTCGATTATTTGAAAATAATTTACCATAATTCTTAAGCGGTCGTATGAAGATGACAGTGCAAATTATTGACGAGATTAAAAATTAACCGTATTACTCAATTATCTTCAATTACTGGATTTTGAGATATTAAATATTCGGGCGTAACGTTTGAAATTATTTTCAGTATATGTACTGCTATATATGTACTGCTGATTTTTGTATTTTTATTTAGATAATTTATAGGTAAAACTAAGGGTTTTTTTTGAAAGTTTAATTCACTTTTCCGAATACTTAATACAGTGCCTTTCGGCAAATATCGTTATTTCATCAATTTATTTACTTTGAAATTTTTTCCTATAAAAAAACTATTTTTTGAAAAAAAACCTCTAATTCCAATTTATTTTTTATTTTTCAGATAAAAGTTTGAATATTTCACATTACTTTTACGGTATAAATGACGTCAAGTACTGCTTGCTTGGGTGGCGTTTTATCACACGCACTGTACGAAAGATAAGAGAAACTAAGAGAACAACAAAAATAAAATTGAAGCACTTGTTTTACGCCTATTCTCTTTGGCAAACATAAATTGGGCTGCCAGATTGTAATAAAAAAATCCCCAAACGGGGAAAGTTCAGAAATCCCTTTATAACAAGTACAAAATAAATATGTTTTCCACGGAAGAATTATCAAAGAATCTATAATTGTTTTTTTTTTTTTTTTTTTCAAATTATACCTTTGACTACAACTCATTGTCAAAAATATATTCAAAAACCAGAGGAACCGGTTTTCTGTGCAGTTAAATTTGACAAGGGAGATTGCAGAAAATGCAGGGCCGGACACCCTAATTGAAAATGAGACTAACTTGGAAGAACTGTACCACGGGTTTATTCTAAAGTGGACAGTGCTCTGTTTAGAAAGTTCTTAGCGCGATCATTGTGTTTAGCGACGAAACTCATTATAGCCTCAGCCATATGACTACAGAGGATATACATCATTTGATACGATCAAAACGTGCGATCGATATAACGGTTTTAGACCCTGGGTCTCTTTGTGCCAAATCCGTTTTAAGATATTTGAAACATCATTATAAAACGCGAAATAGGCATCCGATTCCTTTCAAACTCGGCACATCCCAATATGTTTATATCGGTCCACTCCTTCTAGTACCTCCCCACAAGGGGTCCAATTTTTGAAAAATAATGAAGCTGATAAGTAGCGAAATGAGCATTCGATTCTCTTAAAATTTTCAAATCCCAATATTTCTACTAACACAAGAGGTCAACTTTTCGAAAAACAACACGCTCATAAAATACGAAAAATCATCCTTTTTTAAATTTCAGACATTCCAATATTTCTTCTTACGAAAGATCTAATATGAAGAAGATCGATATCGAGTAACCCCTTCTGATTCCTTCCCACAAAAGCCATCGGCCCAGTCTTTCTGGTACTTCAACCAGTAAAGGTTAAACTTTTAATTAACAATTATTCGCATTAAATAAAAAATAAAATGTTGCACATTCCAACATTTTTATCAGTATAAAATGAAGTGGAATACATTGTTGCACTATATCTGGTACTCTCACGCAGATTTCAACATTTGCCATAGTCCAAATCGATTCGATATAGTCCAAATTTGGCAAGTTGTAATATTTATATTAGACCTAGATCAGATACGGAATGGACAGTGGAGTGAAGATCAGCGAAAAGCATTGCAAAGTCTACCAATGTACACAGAAAAAATCACAATTTAGGGCTGGTGGCATCATTGGACCGTATAAGAGTGAAATCGGTTGAAGAATTCAATTTTTCACTTTAAAGATTTTTATATATTGCGAGTCTTAACTACCAAATTTAAAATAATTCTTTAAAAAAATGTGGCTGGAAATATAGTAATACCGATTATCGATCGGATACCATGGACTAATACGGACAATATTCTGACAGCCCTGTTATAG